TTTGATGGTTTTTTTTTGGGGGGGGGTTTGTCCCTGGCTTTGTTACCTCTCTCCTCTCCCCCCCCCCACCTCATTCTCTGGTCCCAGGAGGACCCCGTGAGGTTCCATGGAACCTGATTTAGGAACACCTGTTCTCAGTGCCCACATAGCCCTTTACGTGCGATGTTTGTGTATGTCTGTGTCTATTCCCATCTTCTCCTCCCCAAAGCCACCCACCAAGAGTCTGCTTCCCAGAGACAGATGCCTCAGTCTCCCTCCTGTGACATTCAACACATGCCCCTCACCAGATGTTGTTTCACAAGCACCTACCTGGTGGTCTCTCTTACAGGCAGTGCTGCAGGCACTTGTATTTGAAATCCTGGGGCGCCTGGGTGGTGCAGTCATTTAAGCGTCCCACTCTTGATTTTGGCCCAGGTCATGATCAGTTCGTGTGTTCGAGCCCCACGTCAGGCTCTGCACGGACAGCATGGAGCTTGCTCGGGATTCTCGCTCTCTGCCCCTCCCCCACTCACATACGCAGGCTCTCTCTGTCTCTGTCTCTCTCTCTCACAATAAATAAGCTTAAAAAAATAAAGTGAAATCTTCACCGCAGCCTTGTGACCTGAACACCGCAGCTCCGTCGCAGTGCCTCCAGCCGCCTCAGCAGAATGAGACCCAGCCCCCTCCCGCCCATCCCTCCACCCCCAGGCACTGTGGCTCTCTTCCTCCCTTTCCTCCTTCCCAGACTTTCCCCAGGTCCTGCCTCCAGCCCACCTCTTGCCCGTGAGGCCGTGACCCTCCTGCTGCTCACTCCCTCTGTCACTTTGTCACGGCAGCTCGCTGCCCCTCCCCACCCTGGTCCTGTGTCCCAGGCCGGAGGCCACAGGCTGCGTCCTCGCCTCCTGCACCGTAGCTGTCCCGATGAGCATCCTCTTCTCCGATCACACTGCCCCTTCCCGTGGCCAGCCCCCCCATTCCCACAGGGCTGGTGCTGTCATCCCATCTCCCTGCCCTGTTCTCCCCAGTCTAGTCCAAACCTGTGGGCTCCAATGCAGTAGCTGTTAGCACATGCGGCTATTAAACTAAAATTCAAATTAAGTTACGTTGTAAATTAGCTCCTCAGTCTCCCAGTCAATTTCAAGTGCTCGGCAGCCACATGGGGCTAATGGCAGGTGTGTTGGACAGCGCAGAGTGTGCTCTTGGATGGCTCTGGAAGCTGACATGGGCCACCCTCAGGCACAGGCTTAGGGAGTTGCCCCACTCAGAGCCTTCAGTGGCCTGGGGATGAGGCCAACATCTCCCCCCCCCCCCCCCCCCCCCACTGTAAGTGGAGGCTGTGTGGCTCTCAGGCCCTACAGAGCAGTGGATGTGTACAGGTGGGCAGAGGAATGTTCTGCAGGTGGCTTTGCCCTCTGAGCTCCAGTTTCTTCCTGGGTAAAGCGGGGATAATAAGTCCTACCCCCATGATGGCTGGGAGGGTCAAGTATGTGTAAAACCCCCAGCTGACAGCTGGCACATTATTTAAGCACGTGATAAGTGGTGACCACCATGTTAACATGAATGAGGGAAGGTAGGGGCAGATCTCAAGAGGCAGGGGTCACAACAGCCATGAGCCTCAGTGCTGGGCACTGGGAACCACTGCAGACTTCTGAGCAAAGCCACCCCATTGGCTGATGCCTGAGGATGACTGATCTGTTTAGCCTCGGTGCTGTCCGATAGAACATTCCGGGATGGTGGAAATGTTCTATATCTTCACTACCCATGGGCCTCTGGGGAGCAGACACTGATATCCTCGGTGGGCCAATGACCAGTGGGGAAAGAGGAGGCCCCAGGTCGCTGAGGGCAGGTCCCAGCTTTGGGAACTAACTTTCTCAGGCACATGCTAACCACACCGTGGGAAAGTTCTCCAGCAGCTGGCAGGGGGCTGGGACCAGGCGGAGTTCTGGAGGGGAGGGGTTTGGAGGAAGGAGAGAGGCCCAGGGCACGCTGGCTCATTGTGGAGTATGGGGAGGGGTAGGGTTCATCACGGAAAGAGCTCCTGGGCATGGGCATTGGCTGAGCCTTCAGCCGGGCCCCTGCCCTGGAGCTGTACCAGCAGAAAGAGTAGGGCCCGGATCTTTGTGCCCAGGGGAGTGGCCTGGGTGCCCCATCTGGCTGATCAAGAACTGGCTCCCATTGTAGCTGTGCATCTCCTTCGGGCCTTGGTTTCCTTATCTGTGGATAGGAGCAGCAGCTCTCCCACCGGCCCCATGGTGAACAAGGTTTGCCAGGACTTTCTAGTTGCTGGGCAGATGGGGTCCTTGGCCAGGGCTGGCCCTTTAAGCTGACTTCTCTCTGGAGAGACCGGGGAGTAGAAGTCCTGGGGACTGGGCGTCATGATACACCAGACCCTCCCTCAGCCAAGCCATTTGTGTTTAGCCTGGGGCAGAATCCCCAAATCTGCAGCCCCACTGGGTCCCAGGTCTGCCTGTCAGCAGGTGCAGGAGGCTTGGGGAATCTTGGTTTCCATCTGCTTCATTCCCACCAGCCTTGTGTACCGGAGCGAGTAGCTTAACCTCCTGAAGCATCCATTTCCTCATTTATAAATTGGAGACTCACGTACCTTCCTCCAGGGTTGGCCCCAGGAATCGGGCCCCAATTTCTCCAGCCATTGCGGAGGCAGTGCCCGGCACACTGCAAGTTCTTGGTAAATGCTCACCAGTGGCCTGGATGATGTGCTGGCTGTAGGGTGACCCTCGCGTGTCGGCTTGATCCTTATGGAGCTTTGCCTGATGGACATGAGCCGAAGAAATGGATAAAATGAGGGGTAAAGAAATAGATACAGCGTCAGCCGTTTCTCACATCTTGCCAGGACTCCGGAAGTTGTGGTACTCCGTAGCTGCCTCCTCTGCCCGTCTCCCTATGTAGGATCATGGAACCTCATATCGGAAGGACCCTTATTTAGTCCCGGAGTCTTCTGATCCCTGCGGCGCTGACTTGCTCTGCTTAACCCCAAGGAAGGACCCGGAAGCAGGAGCAGCAGCTCCAGGGAAGCTGATTTAGGTCAACAGAAGGAAGATTTCTAGCAGCCCAACGTGCTTGGAATGGGTGGTGCTAAGAATTGGACAAGCAGAGGCCAGATGGGCACTTGGCATGGGCCTCGGGTGAGGGTGTGGCCAATATTCTTACACCGGGACCCTTCCGACCCTGGGAGAGGAGTCTGGACCTCTGTGGGCTCCACATTCCCTGGGTTCTGAAAGCCAGATGAGTCACTGAGAATGCCTTGTAGGGTGTTGGGTGCCAGTCAGTAGTAAGCAGCCTTCCAATTGGCCCAGTCCTTTAACAAAGCTGGCCAGGAGCAAGGCCTGGCATGTTCAGTTGTATCATCTACATTTGGTTGTCTGGCAGGAAAGCCAAACTGAAGAAAAGAGACAGGCATTTTTAGAGCATCTACCAGTTGCTAGGCTCCTTGCAGGATGCTTGGACACCATGGCTCATCCAGCTCTCCCACAGGACTGCATGGGAGAGGATAGCTTCCTTCTTCATCTAAGACTGAGGCTCAGAGAAGCTAAGTAACTTGCTTAAGAGCACACAGGAAATTACAGCTTTGGGATTCAAATGAAATCTTTCTGACTTCCAGTAACAATGGAGGCCACTGCTCACTGAGCACTAACTGTATGCTTAGGCACAGTTACTAGTCCTTTGCATGGATTAACTCATTTGATTCTCAAAACAACCTTATGAGGTAGGGAGTATTACACCTCCGTTTTACAGGGAAGGGGAACTGAGGCAGGGAGAGGTAAGATAACTTGTCAAAATCATAGGCAGTGCTCAGATCTGACATCACAACCGCCGTGCCTACTCTGTGTCTTAGGCAGTTTGATGCCAAGATACACCTCCTGCCTCCCCCATGGAGATGGGCGGAGCCCTTGGGTCACATGGGGTAGGACTAGAATGTAGGGTAGAGGTGAGCACAGGGAGGCAGACTTCAGCGCAAAATCAAGATGCCCTTTCAAGCAGATGGACCAATTCCTGGAGAGGCCGTGAGGTTGCATTCAAAGGTGCTCCCAGGCCGGGGGTTTTAGATGGGCCAGTTCCTGCCCAAGAGTGGAGACAGGGTGGGCTGTGGAACCTCCAAGGTTTCCCCAGTGGACATTTCCCAGAGCGTCCCGAACACCTACTAGGTGTCAGATCTCTCTGCTGCTGGACATAGAGTGCAGCTGGTCCCTTCTTCCAGTTGTAGGAGTTGAGTGCCCCATGGCTGTTCCAGAACTGAGGACACCAGGGATCAGGTGTCATGAGGCAGGCAGGGAAGGGGGTCAGAGGATGGTGGGCAAGGCAAGTGACCATTAGGACATGAGCCACTGAACCACAGAGGAGGCTGGCAGGGGCCAGTGAGAGGCTGGCAGAGGGCATTCCCAGGGCTGAGCTAGGACCCTGGTCAGCGCAGGCAAGCTCAGGACCACGGAGAGCTCCATGGGAACCTCTCATCACCCGATGACAGTTGTCAGGGTGTGTCTGCACCCAGGAGGCTGCCGCCAGCCTGGTAAGGCCCACAGATGTAGCTTGTGGTCTCCAGGGAGCACCTGTCTTCTCTCTGGCCAAGAGCCCCCACTGGCCTCAGCCTGAGCCCTGACCCTGAAGTCATTGCTGGGTTGTGGGGTTTGAGTGCATCTGATTCCCTCCCTCACCCAATCAACCTTCTAAGCAGAGCCCAAAGAAAGAGGGCACAAGGAGGAGAAGGAAGACGTGGGAAGAGGGAGGGAAAGAAGAAAACCTACCCAGGGGTGCCTTCTGGGGCATGGCTACAGCCACAAGTCAGCACAAGAAGAGGAGGCCCAGGTTGGGCTGATCCTGTCACCGTCCTGGGTCAAGATCAGCCTTAGCCTCCCCTGTCCCTGATTATCTGGCTACCAGGAAGCATCCAGCCCATCCCCTACCAACTTCATGCAGGAGACCCAGGCTCCTGGGGCTGGGTACAACTCATGGAGTACGTGTGTATGGGGTTGGGGGTGGGGGGCGGCCTGGGGAAGCTCCTAGAGAGCCTGACAGAAGTTCTTTCTTCCTCCTTTCTCCAGCATCCCGGGAAGTGGGGAGCTGCTTCTCAGCCCCTCCACTGTCAGGCTCAGGTTCAGCCTAGGCTTCACTTACTGAGCCCCTGCTCTGCTCGGTTCCCCTCTGGGACAAGACAGCACCCGCCAGGGCCCAGGCTTTGCCAGAGGCTCACCTCCAAGCCTTTGCTCCAGCCATGCCCTTACCCGAAGGTTCTCTCTGCTCTCTGCCAGGCTGGGGCGTAGCAATGAGAGTAAGAAGAGTTAAAGTTTATTTAGCACTCACTGTGTGCCAAGTGCTTTACATGGAGTATTACTGAACCCTCACTTTACAGATGAAAAAGGAGGAAAGTTGTGAACTTGCCCAAGGCTGCACAGATAGGAGATGGCAGAGCCAGGATTTGGACCAGGCAGTCTGGTTCCAGAGTCTGTGTGCACGGAAGTGATGGTGAACACACTGAGGAGACCTCAGTGCAGGGTGCTTTTTGTTTGAGCTTTTTGTACAGCTCCCTGCCCCAGGGAGCTGGTAGTCCCGCTGGGGAGACAGATGTCAGGGGAGGTGAGCCCAGCGTGGTGAGCGTTGCGAACAGGACAGGGCTATGGATTGGTCTCCCCGATTTGGTGTCTCATTTGAAGTGGGCGGGACAGAAATGGGTTCAGTACAGCTGTAATTAGTCAAATTAAGATGAGGTCATATTAGAGCGGAGTGGGCCCCTAATCCAATATGACTAGTGTCCTGATAGGAGAAATTTGTGCACATAGACGTGCACATAGGGAGGATACCATGGGACGGTGAAGGCAGAGATGGGGTGCTGCTTCTACAAGCTAAGGATGCCAGAGGTGACCAGCAAAACCACCAGACGCTAGAGGAGAGGCATGAAGCAGATTCTCCCTCTTCAGAAGGAATCAAGTCTGAGGACACTTTGGTCTCAGACTTCTGGCCTCAAGAACTGAAAATAAATTTCTGTTGCTTAAGCCGCAAACACACAGAAAAGTGGGCAGGACAGGAATGCTTCTATCCATTTCGTAGATCAGGGAGTTGGGGCTCGGGTTCACAGTGGCTTTATGAGCCCAGAGGCTGATGCAGGGAGTCGGGAAGAGGGTTGGGAGAGCTCGGGATGGTTCCTCCAGGTTGTGACCTGGGACAGGAGGCACTTGGTTTCAAGGGAGGCCAGCCCTGACACACAGCAAGCACCTGAGAAGTATTGGGTGAATTTCACTGAGATGAGTAAAGGCCTAAGTTGTGGCCTCTGAGTTGCCTAAGGTCATTCTCTGTAGGAGGAGGGACTCAGACAGGGGTTTTGTCCTCAGGGAGCTGCGTGCCCAGGGCCTTGGAGGGCCATGGGCGAGCCCATTAGAGACCCCAAGTCCTTCCTCAGTTAAACTTGTTTCTCCAGACAGGTCCTGACCACCACACCCCTCTTGGAGTCCTGAGTTCTTAGAGGCACTCAAACATGCCAGGAGGCAGGAGTAGAGGTTGGAGAGCGGTGGGCTGGACAGTGCCCCCCAGCCCAGCTCCTACTCCCAGATCCAAAGTATTGCTCACCTCCACTCCCATCCAAACTGTGAAGCTTCTAGACCAAGCATACTATGGAAAGGACATGAGATTTGGGTCCAGAGACCAAGGTCAACAGCCAGACTCTGCCATTAGCCAGCTGTGTGACTGGCCACGCCCCTCACTCAGCCTCCATGTTTGCATCTGCTGGGCAGGATGCCGTGGTGAGGGTTAGAGCGAGGACCCTGCAGAGACAGCCCGTCTCAAAGCCCAGCTCTGCCGTTTACCATCTCCATGAAGGCTGTTGAGGGGTGGCCCCCACCCGAGTCAAAGACTACCCCATCCTTCTAGGTCCTGACCCCTTGCTCACACTTCACATCCAGGTCTTTGGCAAATCCAGCAGAATCTGAGCACTTTCTGCAGCCCTCTCCCCCACCCTGGTGAAAGCCACTCTTGTCTTGCCTGGACAGTGCTGGGGCCTCTTCATTGTTCTCCCCGCTCCATTCTTCAGGCAATAGTGTGTTCTCAAAAGAGCAGCCCGAGTGAGCCTCCTCAGACCCAAGTCGGGTCATGTTCCTCCTCTGATCAGAATCCTTTCGTGAAAGCGACATTTCCTGCTGTGGCCCCAGGCTGTGTGTGATCTGGGCGCATCCCTCCCTCCTGAGCGCCGGCTGTTCCTTCTGCCCAGAACCTTCATCCCCTGCTCTCTTGTCATCTTCAAGTCTTTCTCTTAAGTCTCCAATTCTCAGTGAAGACTGCCCTGGCCCCCGTTTGTCAGTGAAGCCATGTGACCTCCTAATCCTTTACCCTGCTTTTTCTCCGGAGCACTACTCTTGCTAAAGTTATTACCTGACTCGTTGATTTCTAGTTTATTGCAGTCCCTTGCCTAACTCACCCCCATGTGTGCTGCGTGGAGGTGGGGGTCCTCGTCTGCCTTGTCCCCTGTGTTCCCAGGGCCTTGCACAGTGCCTGGGACATAGCGGGCTCTTGATAAGCAGTTGCTGAATGAATGGAAGATATGGGTTGGGTGAGCAGCCCGTGGGGTAGCGTGTGGGTCAGTTGCGACGGTGCCTGTTCCATCCACTGGGTTGTCCTCCCTGGTCACCAGTAGACTCTTCATGAGTGTCACCCTACTTGGGTTGAGTGTGGCAGATGGAGGGGGGCTCAGGACAGGTTTACCATAGCTGATCCCACAGAGCCTGACCCTCCCTAATTGTGTGACGGTGGGCAAATTATATCATCTCTCTCTCCCCAGTCTCTTCATCTGTAAAATGGGGGTGGCAATCACATAGCACCTGCTTCCTGTTGAGAGGATCCAGTGAGGTCAAGTGTGTAATGTGCTCGGGACAATCGCTGGCTTGTAAGCGTCAGTGACCATCGGCTTGTTACCGCTGGGTGTTTCTCGAGGAGGCGTTCGGACAGAGGTAGAAATGCTGTCAGCTGGGGCCTAGTTTGGTTCTATGGATTTCGCTCACAGCTGGGCCACCTGGAGGGATCTAGCCTTAGCTGTAAGGAGGGAGAGAGGTGCTGGCATGAGAGCGGAAGTGGGTGCGGGTCCTGACGTCGCCACCTGCTTAATGTCCTTTGGGAAAAGTCTCGTCACCTTTCCGAGTCTGTTTCCCCATCTGTGAAATGGGTGGTTACAGTAGCCTCCCAGGGTGGATGAGACAGGAGACCACAGGTGCCGATGCTTTATTTATTCAGTTTCCTATTTATATGCCACTCAGTCAAAAAAAAAAAAATGTATTTGGAGCACTTATCAAAATACATGAAGATAAGATAAGAAGGGATCAGGACAAGAAGAGTAAGAGTGAAGCCAGAAGGGAAGGCGCCCGCAGGAAGTCTGGTCTGTGAGGCACTGACTTGCTCCAGGCCGACCACCTGAGAGTCTCCTCAGCCGCTGGAGCCACACGGCAGCCCCACTCGGCTCCTTCATGCCCAGCAGCAAGCCAGGCCCGGGCCTCATCAGGGGGCTGCCCGCTGAAAGCCCCCTTGAAAGGGGGATCCCAGGCACAGGTGAGTCTGTCTTCCGCAGTGCACGTCTGGCCAGGCGTAACGAGATCCTGAAAGCCAGCCTGGCCCGGGAACCGAGGGGCAGCTGGGTCAGTGTGACCTCGGCTACAGGAATTAGTCTGAGTGGCAGCCTGACCGTGCCCTCCACGGCTCATGGGCCAGCTCAGCCCAGCGGGGGCCAGGATCGGGGTGTGCTCCACGGAGGCAGGTTCCAAGGCGGGGGTGGAAATAGCCTGCCGGAAGGATCAGGGCTGCCCGAGTAGGTCCTCAAAGCCCTCTGCCGGGTCACCGTGGAGGCTTCCGCTGTGCTGACATCAGTCTTCAGTGTTGCCTTCTGCCCGGTGTCCGCCACAGCAAGAACTCCTATCTACCCGCCTGTATCGGGCCTTACCCCCTGCCCCTGCACCCACCCTGCTGGCCTGGTCTACCTGGTCTCACTTTGCCAGAGTAGGGCTGGATAGAGAGAGGAGCCAAGACGACCTGCTTCAGAAGGTTGCCAAGGGGCAGCCCCTCCCTCCTCTCTTCCCAAAAGCCAGTGGAGACCGGCCCCTCCCACCCTGGCCCTAGGGCAAGCTGACACTTTGCAGAGGTCAGGCCCCCTCCCCCGATTGTCCTGCCTGTCTGCAGTCAGCTGTGCAGGCCACCCTTGGGCAGGCTCCAGGAGCTCCCAGGCATTCAAACTAGAGGAGGTGGGTCCCCTTGGACCCGACAGCACAAGTACCCTGGCCAGTGGGATTGGCGACCCCACTGTTCTCACTAGCTTGCTCAGGACTCCTCGCCAAGGTGAGGCCGGGAAGGGGGTGTAGCACGGGAGTCAAGCCACCCGGGTTCCTGCCCCTGCTTTGTCACCTCAGGCAGGTCCCTGAAGCCCCCTAGGTCCTGGTTTCCTCCTCTATAGAATTAAAGGATTGAAGGAGGTGACTCTTAAAATGTTTTCTAGGTCAAACGTGTCATGATTCTGTGCGTTATGACCACGCAGCTTAGAGAAAATTAACGTTGGAATCTTCCAGCATTGAAAGCATGGAAGTTTATTGAGCACCTGCTGCCCACCGGGAACACTGTACCCATTTCACAGGTGTAGAAACTGATGTTTAGGATGGTGAGCTGTTCTTGAGGTCACAGAAGTTGGAAGACAAGTGTGCCTCTTTCTACCCTGCTGTCTTCAGAGTTAGGAAGTGGAGGGCAGAGTATGGCAGGAAGGCGCCCAAATGACCCGGAGAAGGGAAGAGAAGCCACAGAAAGGAACATTTTCAGGGAAAGAATGTTCTAGGTGGAAGGGCAGTGTCTCACTCATAGGGATCTACGGAAGGGGAAGTGAAAACACCAGATGCCAAAGCCCAGTTTCTGTCCTAGCCCCTCCAGCGACCCCGTAGGTCATCCAACCAAGTCGTTGGTCCTACTCCGCCAAATGGGTGTAGCCTCCAGCCTGCCTGCCCGCCTCCCTGGGCCCCGGGACAAAGTGAGCTGGACGCTTACAGTCAGAAGTGCCGTCTCACTACACAGGCTCATTCACGAGATAAGTAGCACATCTGAATAAAGTGTGGACTTTAGTTAATAGTAATGTGGCCATTTCCATTTTTTAGTTATGACAAATGTACCATGGTGATATATAAGACATTAGCCCTAGGGGAGACCGAGTGAGGAGTGTCTGGAACATTTACTTAAACTGTAAAAGACAGTATACAAGGCTGTCCGTTCCACAGCCATCAACTAATTGATAAAATTGGGGCACCCGGGTGGCCCAGTCCGTTGACCGTCCCACTCTTGATTTAGGCCCAGGTCACGATCCCAGGGTCATGGGATCGAGCCCCGACTGAAGGAGGAGCTTGCTTAAGATTCTCTTTCTTTCTTTCTGCCCCTCTGCCCCTCTTCCCTGCTGGCGCTCTCTCTCTCTCTCTCTCCAAAATAAATAAATAAATAAATAAATAAATAAATGCAAACGGATCGATAAATCACACTGCATAAATGAATAGAGAATGGTTCTAGTCATGACTCACTCATGAATAGACAGTGATTCATTCAAAATAACCGTGGAATATTATGTGGGGTTTAAAAGGAAATGGCAGATTTATTACTACTGATACGAAAGTCTGTTTCATCTGTCGTTGATTGGGGAAAACAACTCGAGTGCGCTTAGTGTCCAGTATGATTCTATTTACGAACAATAGGAAACCAAGAACAGAAGTGCTGCCTATAAAACCCAGCAACACACGTCAGACAGGTCAAGCTGTGTGGGGAGACCGGTCTGGAGAGGGGGGAGTGAAACGGGCACCTGTACTTACTCTTAAGTGTGTTAGAGTTCAATGTGTTTCCTTGAGGCCTGTGAATATTTTTCAGTGAAAAGGAACTAGATGTGTCAACATATCCACACCAACGGAAAAAAGAACAGCACCCTGGGCGGTTCCGGGGCAGGGCGGGGTGGGGGGCAAGTCGGAGGCCGCACTCCCTCCCTTGGGGCCTGGGAGCCCCCCGGGGCAAGTTCAGCCCTGCCGGGTGTTGTTGCTGCTGGAGCAAAGCCTAGCGGTGCAGCTGGTCGGGTCAGGGTGGGCAGGCGGGGTAGAAGATCAGACTGCAGGGGAGGAGGGGGGTGTTTGACCTGGCAGTCTCTGGGGGGGCAGGGCTGAGCCAACAGGGAGGAGGTCCTGAGCCAGGAGGGGAATTTCCTTGACGGGGTGGGGCTGGGGGGCTTCCAGGGGTACTTGGGACAGCGAGTGGGATTCCCAGGCTAGACTTCTGGGGGACAGGAAGTGACCTCATGCAAGGGCGCCCGGCACTGGCCAGGACGTTCACAGACACGGTGGCGGCAAAGGCTTCCTCAGGCTCCCTTCCTTAGGAGAGGGGCCTCGGGCTCTGGTCACCCGGGTCTGCAGACCCCCTGACCCGTCTGCTGTCTCCCTCTTTACTGCAGAATGAAGATGAGACGCTACAAGCTCTTTCTCATGTTCTGTATGGCCGGCCTGTGCCTCATCTCCTTCCTGCACTTCTTTAAGACCCTGTCCTATGTCACCTTCCCCCGGGAACTGGCCTCCCTCAGCCCGAACCTCGTGTCCAGCTTCTTCTGGAACAATGCCCCCGTCACGCCCCAGGCCAGCCCGGAGCCGGGTAGCCCCGACCTGCTGCGAACGCCGCTCTATTCCCACTCGCCCCTGCTCCAGCCCCTGTCGCCGAGCAAGGCCACCGAGGAGCTCCACCGGGTGGACTTCGTGCTGCCCGAGGACACCACCGAGTATTTCGTCCGCACCAAGGCCGGCGGCGTCTGCTTCAAACCGGGCACCAAGATACTGGAGAAGCCCCCCTCGGGGCGGCCCGACGAGAAGGCCGAGGGCGCCGACGGCTCCTCGGCCCGGGGCCCCGCGCGGCACCTGCTGAGCACCCGCGAGCGCCCGGGGCCCCGCGGCGCGCGGCGCAAGTGGGTGGAGTGCGTGTGCCTCCCGGGTTGGCACGGGCCCAGCTGCGGCGTGCCCACCGTGGTGCAGTACTCCAACCTGCCCACCAAGGAGCGCCTGGTGCCCCGGGAGGTGCCGCGGCGGGTCATCAACGCCATCAACGTCAACCACGAGTTCGACCTGCTGGACGTGCGCTTCCACGAGCTGGGCGACGTGGTGGACGCGTTCGTGGTGTGCGAGTCCAACTTCACGGCGTACGGGGAGCCGCGGCCGCTCAAGTTCCGCGAGATGCTGACCAACGGCACCTTCGAGTACATCCGGCACAAGGTGCTCTACGTCTTCCTGGACCACTTCCCGCCTGGCGGGCGGCAGGACGGCTGGATCGCCGACGACTACCTGCGCACCTTCCTGACGCAGGACGGCGTGTCGCGGCTGCGCAACCTGCGGCCCGACGACGTCTTCATCATCGACGACGCCGACGAGATCCCCGCGCGCGACGGCGTGCTCTTCCTCAAGCTGTACGACGGCTGGACGGAGCCCTTCGCCTTCCACATGCGCAAGTCGCTCTACGGCTTCTTCTGGAAGCAGCCGGGCACCCTGGAGGTGGTGTCGGGCTGCACCGTGGACATGCTGCAGACGGTGTACGGGCTGGACGGCATCCGCCTGCGCCGCCGCCAGTACTACACCATGCCCAACTTCCGCCAGTACGAGAACCGCACCGGCCACATCCTGGTGCAGTGGTCGCTGGGCAGCCCCCTGCACTTCGCCGGCTGGCACTGCTCCTGGTGCTTCACGCCCGAGGGCATCTACTTCAAGCTCGTGTCCGCCCAGAACGGCGACTTCCCCCGCTGGGGCGACTACGAGGACAAGCGGGACCTCAATTACATCCGGAGCCTGATCCGCACGGGCGGCTGGTTCGACGGCACGCGGCAGGAGTACCCGCCGGCCGACCCCAGCGAACACATGTACGCCCCTAAGTACCTGCTCAGCAACTACGCCCAGTTCCGCTACCTGCTGGACAACCCCTACCGGGAGCCCAAGGGCACAGCGGAAGGTGGGCGGCGGAACAGGGGGCCCGAGGGAAGGCCACCCGCCAGGGGCAGATCGGATGTGGTCGAAGGCTAAGGCTGCGAGATCTTCAAAGGGGGGGGGGGGGGGGGGGGGGGGGGGGCGGCAGCCCCTCCCGCTGTTTCCCTGCCTCCCTCTGCCGGCTGCCTGGTTCCCGAGAGGACCGAGCCCTTGGGAACCCAGGGCCAGGCCTGTGAGCTCACAAAGCATCCTTCCTCGTCGGGAGAGGGGAGTCCAGCCCTTCCGTCCACCCAGAGTGCTGTGGCCAGGAGGTGCCAACGGAGAGTGCATGACGGTTACTGGGTAGCCAGGGAGGGCGGGCAGGGTCGGGGAAGGGGACCCGCAGGAGAAGCTCCCCAGGCCAGCCATGTGGGAGCTGCGGCCCGGCCGGGGAGAAACCTGCCGTTGGGCCTCCTGGGGCTTTGGACCTGCAGCGGGAAGGTGGGCAGGCCGGGAGGTCCTGGGGCTCTGTAAATGGGTGCATTCGGGTGCAGGAGGAAGAGGGGACAGCAAGGTGGGAGGGACGTAAAGGAGCATCCAGCTGGGAGGAAGCGCAGGGTCCTCGGAAGGGCTGAGCCGGAGGGAGCAGGGAGCTCTGCCCGCAGGACGCCCCTGCGCTGGATAGCACCCGTGGGGTAGGGCCTGGAGTCTGCCGAAGCCCGGGGAGTCTTGCTTTTGGCTCCAAACCTGGCCTTGACATTCCGTCTTTCTTTTTATACTGTCGTCTCGTGGGCTGCCCACTCAGCCCTCGCAAGGCCAAGACTCCAGTTCTCGGGGTGGGATGGGAGCCGGAGGCTGGACCGTCAAGCCGGCCTGGGAGGGGGCCTAGGGGAGGCAGAGGTTCCCCATCACCCCTTCCCACTGGGACCCACAGCCCCAGCCCTCCACCGTCTCTGATAGAGTCACCCTTGTGCCCCTGCTCGGGGCTGGCTAGAGCCAGGAAGGGCCCACAGGCTGCCTGGGACCAGGAAGGACTTTGAGGTCAGTTATGTCATCTCATTCCCCTCAGTTTATCTCATGGGGGCAGGGGATGTATCAGTTAGATTCTAAGCTGCTGCCATTAAGAGGCCCCCAAACACAATGGTTTAAGCAAGACAAGCTTGTTTCTAGCTTAACTGTCCAGAGGGAGATGGTCCGGATCCAGTAGGGCAGCTCTGCTTTTTCCCACATACACACCTTCCAGTTCTGGACAGAGCGGTGGCTTCAGCTCCCACCATCACATGTGCATCCCAGCCTGGGAGAAGCAGAGAAGGGCAAGAGAAGCACATGTCCTTTCCCGTTAAGGGCATGAGCCAGCATGGCACGGTCACTTCCGATCGCATCTCACTGGCCGGGTCTTAGTCACGTGGTCACAAGCAGCTGCAAGGGAAGCTGGGAAAGGGAGTCTTCAGCCACATGCCCAGCCTCAGCTTGAGAGTCCTCTTAGTAAAGGAAGGAGGAGAGCACGGAGACCAGGAGCATCTTTGGCACAGAGGGAGGGGCATGGGGAGAGAGCGTCAGAATGACTAACACAGTCCTAGGATCCTCCTCTCAAGTTCAGAGCTCTTAGACGCACCTGCTCCTGCCCCCATTCACTGCCAGTCCAGAGCTGGGGGGGGGGGGGGGGGGGGGGCAGTGAGAGCCTGCAGTTGAAGGAGGGGTGAGACACCGCCCTCCTGAGGCCCCCACAGATGTTCACCCAGCCATGCCAGGATGCAGAGCCTGCCTGTGGAGCGGGACATGTTTGTGTGTGCGTGTGTGTATTTATGGGCATGTGTGCATGTTTGGTGTGTACTTGTGTGTGTCTGTATTGGGGTGTCCCTGTAAATAGATGCTTCTGTATGGATGTGGGGGCAGGGCCCAGGCCTCCCCTTCCCCGGGACCTGGAGCCTGTGGCCACAGCCCCTCACAGCTCCCCCAAAGTGACTGAGGCACAAAGCCCTCGGGGAGCCTAGCAAGCAAGGCTAAAGGGGGATGCGGGGTCTGTCTGTCTGTCTTTCAGTCCAAGGAATGAGAATCCTCCGGGCCCGAGGGCTGAACAGCTGAGAGCTCACTACCTCCCCGGCCTGTTTTGGTCCCCACCATATCCTTCCATCCCATCCCACCCAGCCTCCAGCCAGGACTGTCTCTGGGGGTCTTGTTGGGGTTTCCTGACGGGCCAGGAGGGGAGGGGGTCTCCTCTGCCTCAGCTCTGTCCAGAGAACTGTCTGGCGTGGGCGTGGTCTGGGGAGCTGGCCGCAGAGCAGCGTCCGGCCGGCAGGCATGAATCAGGTGGCAGGGCCCTATGGCCTCCAGTCTCCCACCCCAAGCAAGTCTTTAGGGTGCCCTGAGGGAAGCCCTCCCTTGGAGTTACAGCAGTCCCCCTAGTCCCTCTTGGATCTGAGAAGTGGCAAAAGAAATCAGGATGTCCCTGTGGCTCTGGGCCAACCCAGACCGGGGCCTGCCTTCCCAGCCACCTCTGCTTACCCCCTGGACAGGCAGTCTCTGGGGGCTCCTGAATCGTGCCTGAGTCCCAGCCCAGGGCCTCCCTCCTGAGGGCTTCCTCACCTTGCGCCCCTGGCACCCTCCTGCTGCTATGGGCATGCCCCCTCCCCAGGCTGGCAGGGGTCCCTGGCCTCCAGTTCACCAGCTCCAGGGCAGGGGAAGGAAGAGGGGAGGAGCTCAGATCTGCCAGGACCCACCTTCCCTCTCAGACCCAGAACTCTGTTCGCGGTCACTGCCGAGTGGAGACCTGGCCATTGGGTGGAGACAGCAGCCATCAGTGGAGGGAGGGGCGGGGGGCAAGGTGTGGGGTTGAAGAGTTTCACATATACTCACATTCATACATTCATACACTGGGAATTCTGGGGGGTGGGGGGTGGGGGGCGGGCAGGGGAGCCCCGGGCCACTCCCCCAGTATGAAAGGAAACCAAACTGTGAATGTGTGAGGGCGGGCACACTGCTGGCCCTGTCGCCATAACCAGGTGTCTTTCCCTGGGAACCACTGGCCCTATGACCTCTAGACTCAGGAGGCTCAGCCGGCCCACAGGTCATGTCCATTCCCAGGGGCAGGTGTGGGAGAGCTTTGGGGGCAAAGGTGACAGTTGGGGAGGGTATACAGGACTTCCCCAAGCAGAAGGCAAGGCCCTGGGAAATGTATAATTTAAGGACGCCAATGATAATAGTATTATTTTTTTTGTAAGGGAAAATCAATATGTACATTCTGAAATCATTTTCTCTGTAAATGGTTGGATTTCATTTCACCCTTAAAGGGATGCTTAAAGGAAAAGATAATATTAATAATAAAAACAGCTACAAAGTCTGAAAGGTGCGCGTGCGGGGCCAGTTTGGGGGTGCTCTGGGTCAGGGAGGGGTGCGAGGGGGTGGCTCAGGTCTTCCTAAAAACTTCCTCGCCGCCAGCGCCGGGCCCACGGGGTGTGAGCCTCCCCACAGACGGACGGACGCTGGGCAGGAGGGGGGCGTGCCGAGCCCCGCACCGAGGAATGCACACACACGTGCACGCACCCACGCACAACCAGGGGCGCATCCTCCCCTTCCCCACCCCCACCTGGTGGAACCAGCTGGAAGGAGGGGCGCGGAAAGACGAGGTAGGTCCAGGACTGGCCACGCCACCCCCACCCCCACCCCCACCCCTCCAGGGTGGACCTGTACCTCACCGGAGCGCCAGATGAAGGTTCTGGTGTCTACCCCCAAAGGAGAGCGGTTCTCAGTCCTGACCTCAGGGCGTCCGGACAAACCCTCCCGCTTCAGTGTTCTTACCCTCTTTGCCTGTTACAGGTTGTTTCTTTCTTTCTTTCTTTCTTTCTTTCTTTCTTTCTTTCTTTCTTTCTT